ATTCTGTCTCCGCCTGCAGAGAGGAGGCTCCAGGAGGCGGGACTTCCTGGTTTTGTTTCTGCCCCTCTCCCTGTCGGGGGACACCTGTGGGGTGAATGAAGGCAGGCTTTGGAGCTGCACTTCCCAGGCAGCCGCGCGGGCACTTCTGCCTGCAGTGAGTCACCCTCTCTCGCCCTCACGATTCCGCCTCCCTCCTCACCCACACACTTTTTTTTCTTTCTCAAATGATGAAAGGCTGGATCATTTAAAATCGCTGTGGGATGTGAGCTTCTCGAGCCCCGAGGGCTGCACTGACCGCGTAATTTTCCATGCACCGGTTTACGGGGGCAGTAGATTTCCACCAAGAAAGAGGAAGTGCTGGTGGCAAAGTGGAGAGCGCTGGTGTTTTTTTGGGGGGAGGGGGTGGGGCTGTTGAGGGAAGAGGGAACCAGCATACAACGCACTCTGTGAGCTTGGGGTTGACACCACAGCCATCCAGAGACCAGGCTCGGGAGCGGGCTGCAGAAGCCCCCAGCAGACGGCGCGTGCCCCATCAGTAGCAGGGAGTGCACAGTTCCCCTGTCCCCTGCCCCCAGAGTTATCCCAGTGATGGGGAGTGGTCCTGTCTCCCCTCCCCCTCTTAACACCGAGCTTCTGATGTGTTAGGCAGGGCGGCTTGGGCTGAGGGGAGGAGATAAGAGTTGTTATCCCACAGGCTGGATGCCAGGCTTTGTTCTCACCAAGCTTCCTACCGGTCCATCCTGTTTCCCCTTCATTTCCCTCCTTAAGAGAGCTGTCACCCCGTGATGAACATAGTGGGAATGATCTGGATGCGGCTGTGGTTCACTCCCCTGCACTGCCCTGTGGAGTTGACACCACTGGGCCATTAGGGTTCAGACTAGGAGTCTTCATGGTGAATGCCGCAGTTACAGACCTCAGGCTAAAGGCTGAAGTTTGCATTCGAGTGCCTGTTGATGGGCTGTGTAGCTTTGGGAAAGTTCCCCGTCCTCCATATCTTTGTCTGTGAAATGGGTCAATAACAGCCAACTACAGAGCCAAGAGAGGAACTACTTGCAACAGTTTATGTTGCAGACCTGTTCCAGTGCCGGGCACGGAGGAAGTTGTCGGGAAATGGTGGCTGTTACTGCCGCTTGTTTCTGGCCTTGGCTTGCTTTGATAGGGAGCTGCAGGAAGCAGGGAACACACTTCCTGTTGGCGGAAGGTCTGTGAAGCCCAGTAAGCAGAGTCAGTGCAGGGCCAAGGCCAGAGCTCAGAGCTCGGCTGCTTAAGCCCCTGCTTGCTGTGTAGTTCTGCCCGGACCTAAAGTGCAATGCACACCCACGTTTTGTGTCGCTGTTCCTTGTTGCGTTTGTTGTCACTGAATACGAGCTTCCTTCTACCAATGTATGGGTCTTCCTTCCACCACGGGCGGCGCCTTGTCCAGCGTTTCTCCTCACTTCTGCACAGGCCGCTCTGTGCCTGGCTCCCTGGTGTAGATGGTTGAGCTGTGGTAGACCAGAAGTTCCTGGCAGGGCGTTCCGCAGACTGTTGGGCTCCCCAAGGCCATGCTGCCTTTCCTTTTTGTCCTGTTTGACCCTAGAATAGCACATGATTTGGGGCAGAGCCAGATAGACAAATTGCAGGGTCCAGTGTGAAAGGAAAATCCAGGTTTTATGTTTAAAAAAATTATTAAGAATTTCAAGATGGTGACCACTGAGCATTAAACCAAAAGAGGTGCCCTCCCCAGTGTGGGACCCTGTGCCGCTGCCCAGCTTCCACGCCCAGGATGCCGGCCCTGATGTAGATGGGAAATGTTCTCGAGTGGAAGTAAAGAGAATGCAACTCAACACACAGGTGCCTGGACACCCCAGTGTGTCTGGCGGTTAGCCGCGTGGCCAAGGGTGAGTCTAATCAGCGTGAGTTGCCGATTGGAGCTGAGCGCTTCCTGGCTTGGAGATGCCCAGCCCCTTGCACACTGGGGCCTCTTGGAAGCACCTGCAGCCGGCCTACCCCACACTCTGGTTCCCTGGTCACATGGGCCCCGGGTGTGGAGTTGGCGGTTTGAATTCCATCTTCCTGCCACTCACCAGGTGGATGCTAATGTGCAGCCACAGCTGAGCACCTCGGGCTTGGGGAGTCTGACCGACGGTGCACAATGGTCTTCCTCTCTCTGCAACAACAAAGTTAGAGGAGGGGCCGGGCTAGGGTACAGTGGGTTAATTCGCAGCTTGCAATGCTGCCACCTCTTATCAGAGCTCTGGTTTGAGTCCCAGCTGCTCTGCTTCCTATCTGCTCTCTGCTAACGTGACTGGGAAAGCAGCAGAAGATGGCCCACGTGCATGGACCCCTGCCATCCACGTGGGAGACCTGGATGGAGGTCCTGGCTCCTGATTTCCATGTGGATCAGCCCTGGCTGATGCGGC